GTCACCAGCTGACCCAAGCCAGATCCCCACAAACGAGATGTTAGGGCCCCACTCGGACTAGCCCATTGACAGCTCACCGGGCACCATGATTCGTTCATAGAGGACAATCATGACATGGCTTGATCCCTCCATTTTTATTAGAAAAAACGCTTGAGGGAAGACAATCACGAAGATGAGCCGATCCTCAACCGAACCCCTGCTCTGGGGGGGCCTTGAGGAAAGTTGGACTCGCACAAAGGCCGAGCGCTTCGTCATGGAATGACAGACCCCCATAGGGGTCGAAAATAGGAAAGACCTTTTCCAACCTACCAGATCTCACGGCTATACCCCCGAGGGGTCCGATCTTGACAAAAGGGAATCACCGTCCTCGGGTCATGCCGTGGGCAACAAAAGAAGACCAAGGCCTTCATAGTCCTACCATTTGAAAAAGCCTTCAAAGGAGTATTCTACTCCTCCGTTGGCCTGGGGGCTACTATCGGGGACCAATACTAGGGTACCCGAAGAGGAGGAGCTAATGGCCATCAACATTGATTCATCTGAGCAGACAAGAGTGTGATTACGGCTCCAACCGACCCCTAGGCGCGCATGCTCTGCCTCGCCCGACACCAAGGCCGTGGGCTCCACCTCGCCCGACCTCTGAGGGCTGGCTCTGCCTCGCCCGACCCCAAGGCCGTGGGCTCTGCCTCGCCCAACACCGTGGCTAGAGGCTCCACCTCACCCGATCTCTGAGGGCTAGCTCCGCCTCGCTCGACCTCTGAGGGCTAGATCCAGCTCGCTCGACCTCTGAGGGCTGGCTCTTCCCTTGGGTTAGCGCTTCGCCTCGCCTAGCCGCTGGCCACGGGCCCTGCCTTGCCCGACCCTAAGGCCATAGGCTCTGCCTCGCCTGACCCCGAGGCCACAGACTTTGCCTCGCCCGACCTCCAAGGCCGAGGGCTCCGCCTCACCCGACCTTTGGGTTTGCGCTCCGCCTCGCCCGGCCTCTGGCCACGGGCTCTGCCTCGTCCGACCCTGTGGTTTGTGCTCCGCCTTGCCCAGCCTCTGGCCATGGGCTCTGCCTTGCCCGACCCTAAGACCATAGGCTCTGCCTCGCCTGACCCCAAGGCCGCAGACTCCGCCTCGCCCGACACCATGGTCGCAGGCTCTGTCTCGCCCAACCTCTGAAGGCTGGCTCCACCTCGCCCGACCTCCAAGGCCATAGGCTTCGCCTCATCCAACCGTTGGGTTTGCGCTCCGCCTCGCCTGGACTCTGGCCACGGGCTCCACCTCGCCTGACCTTAAGGCCACGGGCTCCGCCTCACCCGACCCCGAGGCCGCAGACTCTGTCTCACCCGACAGAGACCCATGCTGACGCCAACCACTCCAGGTCCAAGTGTATAGGCCTGGGTCAAACCTCTGACACCAGGGAAGAGACCGTCACACAACGATGTAACCCATGGCCACGATAGGCCATACCCGAGGGTTCACATCAGGAACAGCGTCGGGCATACCAGAGCTGTTCTGTCCAACCCTCGTACGAACACTGACAGGAGCGTTAGTTCACCATGGCATCCGCCAGGATGGAGTGGAGCGCCATGACTGGCAGACGACGCCTGCCCATGACGCCAGTGACAGACAAGGCCGCGATGAGGAGCTGTCCCTGTTGACATCTACAGGGTCAGCAGGACCCGCATGAAGGATAAGAAGGACCCATAGATCTTGAAGGATATCCTCTCCCTCCCTCTCTCGCTCTCCTCCTTTCCGCCGCTGTAACCCATGCTTTCCCTTGGCCTATAAAAGGGAAAGCAGAGTGTCCCATGAGGGACATCTGACCATCGAACAATCGAACTATCGATCTAGGCTAGACCCGATCGAACCATCACGAACTCATCGAACCTCGAACCGATCACAACACAAGCACATAGCTGAGGAGCAACTGAGCTCTCAGCACCCGTTCATTTCTTCCATTAGAGACTTGGGACCTATCCCTCTCTCACCCGTTTGTAACCCCTACTGCAAACTTTCAGTGCTAGTTACACGAGCAGCGATGATGAACTAGACGTAGGGACATTCTGCCCGAACCAGTATAAAGCTCATGTCCTCTAAGCACACCATCCGAGCTAGACGCGCAATATTAAAAATTTACTTATTGGTGGTGACTCAAAACGCCGACACTAAGCACTTCGCAAAAGCACCTACGCTAATCACCTAATGAATCACTAAGCACTATGCAAGTGGAGATCACTAAAATGGTGTATCAACATCCTTGGTATGTTTCCTCCGCTCTCCACATCTCAAATGGCTGGTTGGGGGGTATATTTATAAGTCCCATAGAGAAAGTAGCCGTTGGACATGAAATCCAGCTTTCTGCTACTGACCGAACGCTGTTGTCGGCATGCATAGAGACCGTTGAGCGCACGCGTAGAGATCGGACACACTGCCGAGTCCGGTCATCATCGACCGGACGTGTCTGGTCGCATTTGCGCTACTCTAGAACCTCTCTGGACATGATCGGATGTTGCACTTTGTGTGTCCGGGTCATCCAAAGGTCAGCCGTCTCGTTGGTTCTTCTTGAGTTGTTGCCGCAATGATGAACAGTGAAGTCCGTGCGTCCGATCACTGCCTCGCTTCGGGCGTCCGGTCCTCTTCTTCGACACCTTTGTGTTGCCGAGCAACTGGTCGGACACGTCCGGTCCTCATAGGGCCGCGTTCGGTCACCTCTGCCAAGCTCGTTTCTTCATGATCTTGCGTTCAGCTTAGTTTCCATCTTTGTGCTTGGACTTTGCTTGATATCTTGGGTCTTCTCTTGTGCTTTTAGGGTCTTACTTATGGTGTTGATCGTGGGATCATCATGTCGCATTCGTCCAAGTCACGTCTTGCACCCTATTGAACTACAAAATAATTACTTATAAATTTATTAGTCTAATTTGGTTATGTTGGTCATCAAACACCAAAATCCAAAGTAAATGGGCCTAGGATCCATTTTCCTTACATGACAACACTGACCAAACTCGGTCGGGTGAGTTTGATCGATTGTTGGCGCTACCGCAGGGGAATGACGATCGACGGCTCTCCTAATCGAGATCGGACGTACATGTGCACGCAATCAGAAAGTGCAGGAGAGCGCCAAGAAGACTCAAGAAGGACCGGACGCTGAGAACATTGTGACCTGACGCACTAGAGGCCGCGTCCGGTCAACAACAGTAAGCATCCAGAGAAAGGAAATTGTTGACCGGACGTGTCAGATGGGTGGCGATCTGACGCTGGACAGAGTCCGGTCTCTGTTATGGTTTGATGACTGTGCTGGCATCATGTAGTCGTTGGCTACTGACCGGACACATCCGGTCACCTTGACCTGAGCGTCCGGTCACCCCGAAAATACTGAGTTAAACTCCAACGGGTATGTTTTGAAGTGGGGAGTTTAAATACTTCTCACACACGTTCCACTTAGCTCTCTTGCCTATTTGTTCAGCTAAGAAATATCTTTGGAGTGCAAGAAAGAGTAAGAGCTTAGTTGGGTGATTAAGATTTAAGAATCCAAGATTAAGGACCACATTAGTGCATAGGAAGTAGCAAGTGTGCATCTATCTTTCTCTTTAGGCTTATCTTGGTCAAGTGAGAGTTTATGCTTGTTACTCTTGGTGATCGTCATCACCTAGATGGCTCGGTGGTGATTGGAAGCTTGGTGATCATTCGACGGAGCTTGTGAATGACCCAAGTCATGGTGTGAGCGGTTATGGGCGATTCACCACGACGGAGTATCGAAGAATCAATCCGTAGAGAGCACTTGATCCTTACGCGGATAAAGAAGGAGCTACCTTTGTGCGGGTGCTCCAACAAGAACTAGTGGGGAGTGACGACTCTCCGATACCTCAGAAAAACATCGCCGCGTTACTCTCCTTCTCTTTACTTTGAGTATTTACATTTGAGCAATTTAATTCATGTCTTTACATTTTTAGAATTATCATGCTAGAGTAGGATTGAAATCTAAGGCGTAAAACTTTTGTGCGGTAGAACAATAAAAACACTTCTAGACATAAGGGGGTGAAATGAGCTAAGTGTAGGGCTTAATTATTGTAAGGAATTTAGAATTAGCCCAATTTACTCCCTCTTGGGCATCTTGATCCTTTCACATAGGTATGTTGCAAGTGTTTCATATGGATGTTGTAAAAGTAGATTGGGATGTTGCATATGTTGTAATGGTTGTACACGTATGTTGTAAGCTTATGTTCCCATATTTCATCTATTTTTTTAGATGTATATTGCAGTACATTTATCTAGATGTTACATATGTTTCACACATATGTTGTAAGTGTTTTATCTAAATATTGCATATGTTTATAATGGCTTCAAGTGCTTTTCAATCATTTTTGCAAGCGTGTTCAGATACATGCTTTAAATGTTTCATCTGTCTTCAGACGTATATTACAGGGATTGTATCTTAATATTTCAAAAATAGATACTGTTACCTCTGTCTCTCTCCTTTGCTTCCTTGCCGTGTCGCCCCCCTCCCGACGCTTCCGATACGATGCCTGCGCCGTTCATCCACCTCTTGTCAATGTTGGTGACGACGATGTGGAGCCCTACGTGAGGCACGTGAAACGGAGTGCAGTTGCGACGCCCGACGGTAGCACTGTTGCAACATCAATGCTCCCCGTGCAATATCCAGGTATACACGGCACACAGAGGGAGAGTCCGAGACGGTTTTGTGGTCTTTGTGCCGTCACATGAATGCTATTGGTGGGCCCAGGGACCGCAAAAGTTGTTCTTCCTACCGGACGGAGCTGAGCCTGAGCCAGACCAGACAGCCTGGTCCACTGCTCAACGCGCCCAACGCCCGGCGCTCTGATGATCTGATCCCGCTATAAATAAACGACCACGCGCTTCTCTCCTCTCTTCCGTCCCCATTATTACTGGAGCAAAAAAGAACACGAGAAAAAACAAATCCAAGAGACGGGGATTCCAGAGAGCCCCGCTCGGGTAGGGAAGGGAAGGAAGGAGAGGCAAAGCGGAGCGGAGGCGAGATGGGGGCGGCCGAGTCCGTGCCGGAGACCTCCATACACGAATTCACCGTCAAGGTGCGGCGACCCCCATTCCGAGATCACGCTCCTTCTGCGTGGTCCTGTTTGTGTTCTTCGTTTCTTTTACTGTTCTTTTTTTTTTTGGCAAAAGATAAATTTGGCGATTTCTTCGCGGAGCAGGATTGCAACGGCAAGGAAGTGAGCCTGGAGACATACAAGGGGAAGGTCCTCCTTGTTGTTAACGTCGCCTCCAAATGGTACGCTATCTTTCTCTGACTGTCGATAGAATTTGTTTTTTGTATTCTCCTGCTTCGTGAGATGCTGAGACGGTTTTGATGTTCTCGGTGCCGTCAGTGGGTTCACGGAGGTTAATTACACGCAGCTGACGGAGCTTTATCAGAAGTACAGGGACAAAGGTCAGTTCTTTGCTTGCTCCTGTTCTTGATCTGTTGTTGTGCTTGTTAATGGTCTGAAATGTGAATCTCTCTGGGGTTGGCGTGCACAAGTGGGTTCAACAAGTGTTCTAGTTAGAATTGGGGTAGTGCACGTTGATGCTTGTCGGAATAGTAGTAGTTGTCTTCTGTTTGAATTGAAATTTCTGTTTGAAGTGGAATGGCAAAAATCACATAAATCTTCACCTGAAAAAATTGTGTGATTAGTCTTGCCCAAACGGAGATTTTACATTGCTTGCCACACAGCACTCATACCAAAAGCTTTGTTTACCTGTAGCTCATTTCTGCGGCTGTTTTTCTACATGTATGGGTTTTATGCAGCTTACATAAGATAGGCAGCTGGTACAGAATGCATACAATTTCATTGCATTCCCTTATCAAATCGAAGCGATCTTCCGTTTTCTGGAGTGCTTGGATAGTGGTTCTAACTTGCAGACATGTTTTGAGGATCAGCAAAGGATTCTGAAAGGAGGCTGTGAGAACCCTGTTTTCCAAAGAAGATGTTTGTTTCCATGAGGATTGTTTCCCCAAATTTCTTGGACAACTAAAATTAACTTCAACCTAACATTTTCCTGACTGACAGACAATATGGGCGCTGTTGAGTGAAATCAAATCGAAACTGCATGGAGTTTAAATGACGCGAGAATGATCACGATTTGTTGTTGCTTAGGCATCAAGTATTGTACCCACTTACACTTGCAGCAAATTTGCTTTGTTTTAAGTTCAGTATATATGGCTATCAAGCAAGCCCATGTCTCTTGTGACTATGCCTCTGTACTTTGATTCAGTCTCATGATGCTATTCCATTGAACTGATTTTATTCTTTAGATCTAACAGAAACTGATTTTACTTCCAAACTTGTCAGACTTTGAGATATTGGCATTCCCCTGCAATCAGTTCTTGCGACAAGAGCCAGGTTCTAATCAGCAGATAAAAGACTTTGCTTGCACCAGATTTAAAGCTGAATACCCAGTTTTTCAGAAGGTGAGAACTGTTTGTCAAACATGCTAGCTTGCTAAGAAACTTTTGATCCTTTTTCTAAGATAATTTCTTCTGAATACTAGTATCATCTCATGTACCTGGTAGTTAGAATAATATTGGATATTCTTTATGCAAATTTCTAGATGATGCCAAAGACCACATGACAGAATACATGAAGTTGGAAACTAACATCATGTGATACAAATAAACACAGAACTTGACGATGCATTATTATATTGTTTTCACTTTGGCACAATCAGACAAGTTTTAGTCGATTTGCACAAGTGTATTTAAAGATGCAATCTGCATCTGCATGTTACCGTCTAAAATTACAAGTAATCAACCATGGTGAGAATTTGTTGGCATGCATATGATATTTTGATAGACCCGACAGGTTGACATCAACGTGTAAACTGTGTTCTTATTGCTAAGAAAGCTGGTTGCATTTTAAACTTGGGTTTTGCAGGTGCGTGTAAATGGCCCGGATGCCGCGCCGGTTTACAAGTTTCTGAAAGCTAGCAAGCCTGGTTTGTTTGGATCAGCAAGAATCAAATGGAATTTTACCAAGTTTCTCGTGGACAAAAATGGGAAGGTCATTGAGAGATACGGAACATCGACAGCTCCAATGTCAATTGAGGTCCCTCACTCCTTCCCTCTCTTTCTCTCTCCCTCACCAGACGTCTGCTTACTTTTTGATGGATTGGTGTTTTCTTCGACTTTGCAGAAGGACATCCAGAAGGCCCTTGAGGAATAAAGATCTCATATCCTCTTGTCTCGTCTCACCCATCATCCACTTGCAGAAATAGGCACTCGCAGAAGTATTCCGTCGTAGCAACATTTAGACGTCTTTGCTTGTTTGTAGTAAAAATCTGTATAATGCCCTCCTTTTCGCCTTCATGCTCATTGCGCTCGTGTTTGTGTTCGTGTAAGTAATGGTTGTATTACCCCTCAAAAAAAATGGTTGTATTAACTAGCCATCATCTTCTCCGTCATGTTTTTGCCCTATTTTTTTGTCTGAAGAATGAAGACAATGGTATATCGATGCAAAACTATGTAACATTGGTGAACCATTATAGTTTAAGGTTTGTGTTTACGCTCATTCCGTTCCTAATTACGCTTGATGGCCCGACGGACTGGTTATATGTGGTCTCATTGAGGCTGGTGGTATGGGCTGGGCATGTCTTGCGCTTGCGCCATACCACATCTGCTCGCTTGTTCTAGATGATCTCACAGGTCGCTATCAGACCTTTTTAACGTTTCCGGTTAGGTCTTCGATGCTCCTAATAGACATTTTTAGGCCGGATGCCATAGCTGCTAACACAAAGACACAGCTGGAAAACTTAGATAAGGCAGGTTGGGAGCGTAGCAGCGTAGCATTTCGGTCAGATCGCACGTGAAACAACGTAAAGTATTTGGCAAAGGGTTGACTACTGAGCACGACACGAAAAAAAAAACTACTCGCCTGTCTTGCAAGAATTGGTTCGAGCATGCGTGTCGCATTTGCCTTCTTGCACGGTTGCACTCTTTTGTCACAATCGCCATGCCATGAGCTGCTACTCCACTATACTCCGCGGGTCTTGCTCACCGCTCACGCGACGGCACGCGCAAAAATACAAGGAAAATTTGACAGAAGATCTCCTCTCCAGCTCTCCTGACACAAGGGTTCAGACTTTATCAGAAGCATCATCCTCCGCGTCCTCCCGCTGCTTCTGCTGCTGCTTCGGCGGAGGCGTGCCCTCCGCGTTCCTGACCGCGGCCAGCTTCTCCGCCAGTCTCTGCTCCAGTGCCCTCTGACCCCTTTCTCTGCAGGGAACGGACAATAATCAAATCAAATGAGATGCCCGAGATAAGAACATCAAGACTGATCAATGGGTAGCAATCATTTCGTGATGGTGCTCAACGGGTAGGAAACCAAGAGCATGTGCTCTACTAAGCAAATGGTTTCAGTGATGGATGGCTAAAACGATGAGAAAAAAAAGGAATTCGCACCTCCTCCTGTTTGCCTCAATGGACCCCGAACCAGGGAACTGTGACCCATCCAATGTCTGGCCTGTGCCTTCAGGTCTTGCAGATCGCCCACAGAAGAGTTTGTGGAATATGGAAGCAATAGGGTCCAAAATTGGCCTGCAATATTTCAATAAGTTTATGAAATAAAAAACAAAGTTTAGGTCTATTTATTTCTAGATTTGTTGAGTCTTGTACTGTTTGTAAAGTGTTTAGCAATCGTAACTTTCAGAAGAAAAAAAATCCAAGGACAATTCTTCTGCAGAACCTTAGAGCTAGGAATCCATAAAATGATATGTGGCCCCGTTCGGCTTACCCCATATTCGACTTGTTCGGCTTCTTTTTTCAGCCGGGACAATGTTTTTCTCTCACAACAATTCAGCCAAAACAGTGTTTTTCAGCTGGGCCAAGCCAAAATTCTACCAAATTTAACGGGCCCGTTGGTTGGTTAGCATTAGAGTTCTGTGTTATTACTAGGGGCCAGGAGCCACCTCTAGCATGGAAAAAAAAGGTTGGATGAGCACCTATATCTGATATCTCTAAAGCCATTTCCTAACTCTTCTCTTCATATATGCTTTCGAAGGTAGAGTTAGACGTTATGTTTAATTGCAATAGTAATCCAAAATTTTCTTCTAACATCTTAAATTAGGGATTCACACATCGCTGAGCAAGGGGTCCTCTAAAATGTTCTTCGCTTAGCAGAATTATTGCATTGCATTTCCCACTGCTTTACACCAAGATCACTTGTGAAAAACAGTACCTTAAAAATCCTGGGAAGAAGCTTGAAAATGAGAATTCATCACTTGGGTCCCCCTTAAGGCCTACTTCTAATCTCCTTTGGAAGTAACGCAGGTAAATCCAGCTCATGTAGATGCCAAATAATATGATGGGAAGGTATGACATCGATTCCTTTATGAAGAAGCTTACGGCAACAGAGATAAATGCAACGATAGATGGAATCCACTGAATAAACAGAAAAAAAATGTTAGGAAACCTTGGGAGATAATCAAAATTGATTGCACAATTAGACAAATTTCATTACAGAAGTGATCAAACACCTTTGCACTAATCTTGAGCACAAAAAGATTAAGCTCCTGATCGGGTAAAATTTGCTTGATGCCCACCAGTAGTCCTGAAAGAACTCCATAAAACCCAGAAATAGGTGTGTAGCTGCAGAATCAAATAGATGTAATGTCAATTTTCATGGTAAAGTATAACTAGGTCGAGAAAATCATTATGAACTGAAATCATGAATATCCACTATTGAAAAGAATCAGAAAACATAATGTTGCTGCATCTCCCAACAAAACATCTAAACCTAGTTCTTTCTTATCAGTTAGATATCCTATGATCAAAATTTGGAGACAAAAATATCATTTCAATTTTCAAAAGAGGGAGCTCAGCACATTTCTTAGAGTACAATACTAGACTTGGAGACATTGAAATCTGCAGGTTGCTATCTGGAAATACTTTTGCAAGGACACTTAAAAAAATATTTCCATAACAAAGTGCCCATGTAAATCGGATAAAAAAAACTATTTGACTAGTAAGCTACTCCCTCTGCCATGAAATATAAGGAATTGAGATTTCAAAATTTTTACCAAAATATAAGGTATTCTAAGTCCTCAGCTCCTCTCTCTGCTCTGTCTTTATTAACCTAACACCCTTTTCCTTCTAAGTACACCTTACCTTTCCTCTCTAATTCATGGTAGGAAATAATAACAAGTAAAGATTCCCTTTAAACTAGGAAAGCAATAACCTAACTACTCATTCTCTCCTAATTAGTGAAGGGTAATTAGGTATTTTATCAGACTCCTTATTTTGTCTGAAAATTGATTCGATTCCTTATATTTTAGGATGAAGGGATTAGTAATTAATGAAATGTGACACTTACAGGTAGCTCTCCTCCTGTGTTATGTAGTACAGCACAATAGTAGTTACTGAAGACACAAGCTGAAGTTGAGAGATTAACAATAAAATAAACTTGAGCAACTCCTTAGCTCCCCATAAAGGCTCCAACACCTTCCCAAATAGAAGAAGACCAACTATGCTCACTATCACCTGGAAACACAGAAGCCTTGTAAGATAAGAGTGCCATTGCCTAATGTAATAAATAATGAGCCTTCACGATATTGTGGTGTGATGCAGTATCCTAGGTAAGAAAGAATAACGAGCAAGGGATAAAGAGATTTCCTAGAAAACTGAAGACCAACAGACAACAGAATAACATGATTTCAAATTAAAGTACACATCAAGCACCATATCTCAGATATTCCACAGGCATAGGAAACAATATAATGGGAAACAGAAAACATATGAAATATCATAGCATTCGTCACACTTTTTTTCGTGCTTAGAGTTCATCTCTTGTTACGATGTTTGGTCAGCGGGAAGTGCAAACATAATCGCAGAATGGCAAATAGTATATTGGACTATTGGACATGTGTCGAGCAAACATACCCTGGAATTGTTTGCTCAATATAACCAGCGGTAACCAGGTTCCAAGCAAAAGGGATTGTCCTGTACAGAGAACACCTCTAGTTAGTTAATCTCCTGGAAAGAGCTATTCATGTAATGTACTATAAAGAAATGGTATAATAAGGATCTCAGTATGTAGATTGAGGTAGTTTATATGGTCATTTCCAACAGTATAACATAGGTGGAAGTGGAAATGGACATTGAAGCTTACATCAAATTTGAATTAAGCAATAACTACTGCCGTTTAGAAACCTTTTTCTTTTCTATAATTTCAGTTAAAAGCAACTGAGCAGTAACGAAAAAAATGCAAATTAGTAAAATTCCAATTAAACGCAACTAACTAGTAATCGAGTTGGTGTGAATTACATGAACTTACACTTCCCCACATAGAGAAGAGCATTAGCAATAACTGAACGGGTGTACAGATTACATTCAGAAAATTATTTTTCTGATTTCAGTTAAACACAACCGAGCAGCAACAGAAGGGAAACGTGAATAGTAAAATAAGTTTCCAATTAAACAAACTGAACAGTAAGTGAATGGGGTACAGAATTACAGATTACAGGACTGATCGCAGTTCAGCCAAATAGGGAAGAGCAGGTAGCTCAGCTAACCCTCCCTGTGGGTTCAGGAATCAGGAATCAGGGATCCGGGATCAGGAATGACAGCGGGTACCTGGCTGGTATTAGCGTGAGATAGGTGGCGGCTGAAGGGAAGAGGTGGACCAAAATGTGGGCGAGGAAGAGGATGACGGCGAGGCCCTTGCACAGTTTGGTGAAGCCCGTGAAGAATCGCCCGCCCTGCATCAACAAGATCGATCAGTCAGCCACGCATAGACGCGCTAGCTGGTATAAGCGATCCGGTCCTGCCGAACTGGTGCTCCAGGAACCCGTGATCCTCCGTTGTGTGTGAGGCCCGTGGAATCGTCAGCAAGGCGGAATGCAGGGGGATTCAATGAGAAGGCGGTAGATGCACGGGCAGGTAGATCAAGGGCGAGGGGAAGAACGAGAAGAGGAGCGCGAGCAGTGGAGGCATACCGCTGCGGGGGTCGGGGTCGCGGAGGCGCTCATTGCGTCGGCAGCGACCCTCCCTCAGTTCTCCGTCGAAGGCCGAACCCGACCCGAGGTCACCGACACTCGTCAGAAGTTTGGCGGCAGGCGCGCTCGGGAGTCGGGACTCGGAAAGAGACCGCGGCCGGCGGGCGACCCGCGGGTGCAGGCAGACGCGGTGTTGCGCTTCGTGCGCGGCGAGGATCTCGCAGAAATGGAGTCGGCAGCGGAGAGCCTCCTCGGCGTCCTCCGTCGCCGGTGGGGTTTTATGTGGCGAGGGCGATGGACGGGTGCGATGCGACTCAAACTCAACTAGGCTGGGTGGGCATGGGCCGGGCCGTGTACGGTCCCACTCGAATCGCAGGGGCACTGGTAAAGGCGCGCGGCCGTGGCCGGTGGGTAAATCGGCCAGTCCCGTCCGTTGGGATTCAGTTGGTTGGGTCCAAACCCAGTACGCACACGCGCACAACGGCGACTCGGCGAGTGTGCCCGCTCCTACCGTGCACGCGCGTGGCTGGATGCATCCACCATTGTGTGTGAACGAAACATGAACGCTGCGAGTGAGGCAGCGTAGTGCGGCTACACCTACACGGGCCTGCTACCAGATCGTGCCACACCTCGGTGCCCCATAATGTCTTCCAGAGAATGCGAGTGCAACGACACATACCCACCAGCCTGCTCCAGTGCTCCGACGTCAACCGTCGTATACCCGACGTCGGGGCGGGCGAGCGGCAATAGATCACCGGCGTTTTGCTTTCAGTGTGCTGCCTCAAGTCCAAGACGAAGTACCATACATAAGTTTATGCAGAACAAATTACAATGGTTTTTTTGGGCATCACGGACGTAAATACAATATTTATTGGACCCTATTAATACTGTATAAGAGAATTCGAATCGACATTAAGAGGCACATTACCCTTTACTATTTTTATAAATAAAAATATAAAACCCTACAAAGTAATCGGCTTTCAAATTATGTTACAACACATTAGCAAGAAGAAAGGTCTTGCCAATTCACAGTGGACGTTGAGAGATGATACAAATCAGTGGGGGCGCTACAATTCCTACTTCTATATACACACCAACGTCCTGAAATCACATGTTTCCTTTCCGTTTTACATGTAAAACCAATCAAGCTGGACATCAACCAACGGCAACTCTGTTACTATTAACACGACGGAACACGTATTGTCAAGGGAATCATCACGTATCTTTCCTCGTCTTAGTCGTTGTTCTTGAAGAAAGAACCCCATTTTTGTGTCAAACCATCTATCAGGCCGCCCGTCCGGCTCTTCTGAACTACCAAAGTTGCTCTTGTGCCATCCTCTCCATTGGCATTCTGAGTCACTTTCTGGGATTCTGCCGAAGCAGGTTTTCCATTGGTCATCTGTGTTGATGCCAAGGGCTCTGAAGAACCAGAAGCAGAGACCAAAGCATTGTTCTTTACAGCGTCGCAATCTGTGGTTTGCCCTTCACTGACTTTTTCTCCACTGTTGCAGACATTCGTATGCTTGCCAGGAGCATCAAATGACACAGAGGATGCATCTTGCTCCAATGCTGCAGCAGCCACACCATTGCTGTCTTTTACAGTATCGTTCTCTTTAGGTGCAGCATCAGATGCAGTGGATTGCACATTTTTTGTATTTGACTGTTCATAGTCTTTCAGTGATTCAAGAATTGCTTGCATCAGCATCTGCATGTCAGCACAGCAATACAAGATTCAATATTGATAGGCTTAGAAACACAAAAAGGATGAATCTTGAGAAATAGCACTTTCAGCATAATTAGCATTCATCCTTGTAGTCCTTAGGACATTGATTTGCTATATGGTACCACACTAAATGTGCTACCACCAAAGTTCACTACATACCCAACAGCTCTAAGTCACGTTCATGGTGCTAAGATCCCCATTTCAAATCGGAGTGCTCGGTTGCACCAATAGTCCTTAAGACCATATCCAGCAGTTCTCCATTATTCACTTTCTAGGGCTGTTTGGATCGAACCCTCCCAGGCAGACTCACGGCCAGGCAACGATCCAGACCCCAGGCGACCGACAACGGACAGCTAGGAACACACGGCGCGCCAGGTAAGTTTGCTTGGAGTTGAACCAAACAGCCCATATGTCCTCATCTGGAGGGCCATCCCAATAAGTTTACCTCTGTATATCTCCTATATCACCAACAGACTTTCTAATTCTTGTTCTCTAAATTCAATCCCCCCGCCCTCTCATGAACAGATGGACCCCAGCTGTCATCTTCAACCTCCTTTACCTTCTCTATAAGGCCATAAAAAGCACCAGCGCTTCATCACTCGAACTCTCTCACGGCCAAATCAAATCCAGCACAACAATCAATCTCCCTCACGTGGAGAAGGAACATGAAGGCACAACCCCACTAGTAATGAATTTATGACCTTCAATTCTTGGACTGGACACTCGACAGCTTCAAAATTTGAAAAAAAAACATGAGAGAGGCACCAGCACAAAGGGGCTGGGGCCGGAAGGATGGAACCCCAAGCACAAGCGTCACTCCAGCACAGGCAGACCGTATCCACACAGTTGCCAAGGATACGCAGATGGGCCCAACCTGACTGGACATCGACAAGTGTGGCAGCCCACAGCCGGATAGTACATCTGTTGGAGATGCTCTAAGTAGTGCACTGTCATCACTGGACCAAAGATTAGTAAGAACTTATCACGGCATGAACTTATGTTTAATCAGTGATCCAGGCACCCTGCTCCAGATTCTATATTTACCCTCTGTTGAACTATATATAAGTCATAAGGTACTACACAAGAAAGTGCAGCATAACAGCACAACTATGACTACGAAGGGCAAGGAATTTGAGGTATGACTTACTCTATCTTCATCTTCCACGGTGTAAGGCATATCTGACAAGCTATCAAATGAGTACTCCACATACTCGCCATCATCAGAGGTTGGAGTCAGCAGCCTTCCGTTGCGACCATTGGGAGGAGTTGCTGTTGATACACTAGATGAGGAGGGACCAAGATCACTATCCAAACCCTGTTCAGACAGCAACCGAGTAAGAATCTGTATGGTTAGCTTAGCAAAGATTAGCATTTGACAGAACAAAGCATTTCCACTGAAATTTATCAGCAAAATATATGAAATTGGAAGGTAGCCCACGCACGTTCTTGAAGCAGATGAATTAGGTATAACACTACCACAACAAATGAAGTCTAATGCCCATTTAATTATAATTACAACTCTGAGATAAATGGCATCTAAATTCCATATTGCATTTCAAATTTCATATGTAGCGCACTGCACACTCAATACTGATTATATAATTTACATTTCGTATAGTAACTGTTCAAGTGAATGGTTTTTGGAACCTAATAAGTTCAGGCCAATCAGCAAGGAATACACAGAACAGGAAAAGGTAGAAACTACAAAGGAAGCTGGACTTTATAATGGTTAAGATGTGTGGTGCAACACACCCTGCATATGGGCCTGTTAGAGTATCATACTTGAACGCTTCAACCTCTCATGTCTTTCGTAAATACTACAAATTTAATACAAGTTCTTATTAGTCATGCCATATGCTCTGGATTATAAATTTTCTATGACACCTTGCCAGACCCAGTATGCCAGTAATTGAGGGCAATCAAGCATGTTATATCTTCCAAATTGCAAATGCAATTGTTCTAGGATTAGTAAGAGTGATTTGCTTTCAAACTGTAAAAAGTCACAGTTAGGTATGATCAGATAAGAAACTTCGGTGTTACAAAAGAAAGAACATGTATACTCCTAAAGGGGAAAGTACCTCAGTTCGATCAGCCCTGTCTTCAGCGGTGGCACCAGATGGGACCTGCAAAAACAATCATAAAAAGCTGAAGCTATGTTTGCTACCTCATTAAAACAGAGAACAGTGCATAAGGAGAAACATCTGGTTACTGAGGATATTGTGCCAAAATAACCCCCTTATCTCTTCCTTTCCCTCCATTGTCTGTCCATTATTTGTGCTTGAGATATAAGTTAGGGATGTTTTGTTTGGTCATGTTTTATACAAGGAATGATTGCCCAGTAAAATACATTTAGCAAAAGTATTAAAAAGTGGACAGAGTAAATTAGTTGATAGTATTTGGAAGCATAAGTGTTTATTTAAGAAAACATTTAAGAGTATCAACCAATTGAAACACGCACCTCCATTCTACTCATGAGCCTTCTAGAACGCGCCTGTGCAATGGCATCTTCTGTCGAGTTGCATGGGCTGTCCCTGAAACAAATCACATAGGTTCTTGGCTTCTTGCTATTTAGTCGTAACAAGTGAAGATCAAATTTTGCAAATTGTACCTGTAGGTGATTGAGAGAACCTATACTCTATGTCTTGTTCTGTATCCCAATGACCCTATCAGCAGAACATAAGGTAAGTAAAGCCAACATAATTCAACCAGATGTGAAGAACATTGTTATACTACCTGACCAAGGCCACCATGTGGTGTCAGGAAATAATGATCCTCTGCCACTTCAGGAGGGTTTAGCACATTATGGAAAAATATAGTGATTGAGTCAAAGTAAAATTGAGGACGTGGTGAATTGTGGTCACCATCAAATTTTATAATGTTTTTGTCACCCTGCAGAATTTGGAACCACCACATATTACTAACTTGACAGACAAAAGGTCAAGTGTGGTTAACATTGAAGGGAAAGATGGAAACTTACAATATATGATTCATATATCTTGTCTGAATGATGGGGAAGTATAAAATCATCCTCAGTTGCATGTCCAAACAAAGCAGGAACAAAACATCGTTTTGCTACCTGCAAGATTACATTTCCGGTAGAAAATACACATTAGCTGCCTTCACAACAGAACCAGAAATAATGAGGCATTTCAGATAGTCCATCTTGGGACCATCCCATGAATTTCGATATTATACAAAGGCCTATGCTTGGGAGGGACAAGGTGTGATGAATCAAACTCTTCAGTTCCTAACACCAAACAGGTACTATTCAGAGCTAAGATTTGATGATCCATCACCATCCTATTCAACA